ATAATACAAATGTTGTGCGTAGAATAACAGTTAGTTGGAATGCTGTTAACAGCATTCCCACTAAATTACACAATATTTTAAGTAAAATCAACTTCACATGAAGTGCATTGTACTTCAAATAACAATTCCAGTCCTTGATTATTTTAAGTAAAATTCACTCAAGTTTTCCTAATGCGTTACTTAAAAACATAGAAAGTGGTTGACTTAAAAATGTAAGTAAAATCAACTTGACATGAAGTGTATTGTACTTCAAATAACAATTCAAGTCCTTGATTATTTTAAGTTTAATTGACTCAAGTTTTCATAATGCTTTACTTACATTTTTAAAGGCAACCACTTTCCTCTATTTTTTTAAGTAAATTCAACTTATCCGGGCTTACAGTGTACCAGAGTGTAGGTATACTTGTTAAAAGTAAAAGTACTGCAATCAAAATGTTACTCAAGCATCAAAATTATACTTAAAGTATCAAAAGTAAAAGTACTCATTATGCAGATTGGCCCATTTCAGTATCGTGTAATGTGTTGATCAAAATGATTAATGCATTAATGTGTTTATCAAAGCTGGCAAAGGTGCAGCTAGTTTAAATGACTTTGTATACTGCAGGCCAGGGTAGCTTGTGAATGTGACTCCAGGTGTAACTAAAGTCTTATATAAATGTTGATAATATTTCATATCATTAATCAAAACCTGCAAAGCAGCTAACGGTATTAAATAAATGTAGTGGAGTAAAAGTACAAGATTTACCTCTGAATTGCAATGTAGTAGAAGTACAAAGTAGCACAAAATTGTAATACTCAAGTAAATACTCAAGTTCCTCAAAATGTTACTAAAGTACAGTACTTGAGTAAATCTACCTAAATTAAAAAGCTAATCAAAAATAGATAAAAAATTAGTTCACTAATCTTCTTTGACATATTTCAAATTAATAATCACACATTAATGTTGGCCCAAATCAATACTGAAAAACAGATGGAAGGAAGGATGTGAGTGATGGAGCCAAGATGCATCGACACACCGAGGGGCCACTGTTAATGACTATACCATACCATAAACATTACCCCCTTGTCGCTTCTGATTCATCTTTAAATGATTAGTTTGAATGTTGATTCTCAGTTTCTGGACTTCCACAGTCTGGTTTTCTGTCTGAGTTGAGCAGATGGAAAAACAGAGTCATGATTCTGGAGAACCGAGACAAATTGAAACAGACACACCTACATGTGTAACACAACTGTAGCCATTGATGTTGAAGGCACTGCTTGCCATGTCAGTTTGCTGCTATTAATAATTGTCTTAGATTTAATACAACATTTTACAGATTTGACCAAATCATGGTAGGAGCAAAGTACTGTATACTATACTGTACAAATCACAGCTAATGCAACTCGATGTCAAGTTTTCGAGCATTCACTTAAAAATGTGCTATAGGAATGGCCGAAGACCTATCAGGGTTTGAGTCAACTAGCTGATACAAGCCATAATAGAGGAGATGAATCAGAGTGTTTCAGAGAACCTCTCCCTTGAGACAAATAACCATTTTCCTCTGCTCACGGTATATGGAAAGAAAGATTGGACACATTCAAGCCCATGACACGCTATCCGTCCTTTCCTAATCCATCTTCTTTACTCATCACTTTTTAAGATCAAATCAGATCCAGACAAAATTAGGAATGTTAAGTGCAGAGTTGTACTCTACACTTGAATTTTAACAAATATTAACAGTATATACAGCATGTCCTAAATTGTTGTGGGCCAACAGGACTTGCACTATTCCTTACATTCCTATTTAGACTGCATGGTTACTTTTGTAACTAGTTTTTCTCTTTTTCCTATCGAAGTCTTGTAGGAGGTCAATATTGTCAGTTCTCATCATTGGAATTGGGTCCCTTAAAAAGGTTTTCTCATTCCCTCCCTCAAATACGCGAGGAAATGTGGAAGCTTGCCTTATATTGTACAATGTTTAATGTCGAAATGTGAACAGAAATATAGATTGTTGAGTGAGAAATGAGGTCTAAGAGGATAACTCTGACTCATCTCTTCCTGCTTTAGACTTCTGCGCCTTCCAAAGGTAGAGGTTTTTGGATGCAGATACTAAACTTGTAAAACACTCAGATTTGTTCCTGTGACATATTACTTGGCCAGCACAGAGGACAGAGGAATTGGAAAGCCCTGCTGGGTCTGAATGAGATCACTGAGCAGCATCTTGGATTGTGACTGCCTCTTGGCATTACCTGAGACACTGAGGGATCGTTAGAGTGCCTGTGGAAGAGTCAGCAATAAATTAACAGCAAAGAATATCCAGCGCTGCGACAGGTATGCATATTAGGCATCGCAACTAGTGGAATCAGCAAGCAATCAGGGAATTGGCTAGAGGTAATCAAAGAAAAAATAAGGCATATTCTCTAGATTACAAAACTGATTTTTGATGTGTTGAAGTTTTATGAAACATGCTTATCAAGTATGCTGTTACTAAACAATATAGTACATTATTTTCTTGTAGATTTACTGCCTGCATCATATACCAACATCCCATTTGTATTTAGCCTGGCCAACAGATCTTCACATAGCCCTCAGTATTATACAATCCTGCCGTTCTCATGTTCATTTTACTTGCTGCATTATTTGACACACATCTTGTTTGCATATGTAATGCAAAATGGCTTTAATATAATTCCTTGAATCGAATCTGTGACTACCAGAGAGATCAGTCGCATAACTTCTGTCATTAAAGCCTCAAATGTATGCTGTCCAATAAATGCACATCTTGCTTGTTATTCCATTAGCAATGAAATGACTGCGTAAAAGCACAATTATGGTATTAATGGAAACTGAAGCTGTTCATCATTAATGGCATCCTCCTTCAGTGAATTAAGTCACACATGTGTGTTCAATGTGGTGCTTTTATAAATGTGCAGATGAAAGAGGAAGATAATAAACAGTGAGCATGACATTTAGGACTACCAGCAGGACCTTGATATCCTCTAATGGCTCTTATGGAATGTACTGTTTTTATTGGGGCCATTAGGGCCCAAAGGACCACTAGGCACGGAAATAAATTGGTATTTAAAAAAATATATATATATAGGATAGCAGGAGACTCTCACATTTTCAAAGTCCTGGGTCACCCGGATCAGAAACATATGGTGCATGAGATCTTTGTCTTCAGTCAATGAGGCCTATGGCTGTAACTTCTGGAATCTCTGCAGTTACAGCAGCATAACATGACAGGAAGCACAGCGGAGGGCTCGGTGCTCCTGTACTCCAGAGTCACTCAGCCCTGACCAAAAGAGGCAACTAACGTGCACCGCAGAGTCCTGCTACACCAGCCAGATCCCAAGCTTGTGACATCCTTCGTCCTGTGTATGCTCTACTTCACAAACATGTGACTTTTTTATTTAACACTTACTGCAGAGCGATAAAACATATATAGGCTACTACTGTACTATGGACAGGACATCCTCTTTCTCCTGAGCATCGATTGAGTGAGCACATGCACTGTAGAATATGTGTATCCAAACAAGTGATTGAAAATAGTAGGCTACTTACTTTTAACTGGGAGTGTTAGGGAATCATTTGCTTAGGTATTCAACCTTTGACACAGTTCATCATTTTCTCCTCTCACTGTCTCCTTTCCCATGGCATAGGTCTACGGCCTTGGGTATTGCTGCTATCTCTTTTAAGGAGGAGCAGCAGGGGCGCATTGTTGTTACCAGTCTATAGGCGCTTTCACACCGCAGTACTTTTCCCACAAAGGTTCATGAGAACTTAGTTCATCAGAACTCTTTAGTTCTGATGAACTAAATACAGATCGCGTTCACACCGGAATAAATCCCTGGGGGTGGATTAGGCAAATGAAGCCGCTGACGTCACTTCTTCTTCTTCTGCTTTGAGGTTTATTGGCAGGCCACAAACAACTTCACGGCGTATACTGCCGCCCAAAATCCCCGGCCGGAAGTCCCCGGGTTTGTGGCCTGCCAATAAACCTCAAAGCAGAAGAAGAAGAAGTGACGTCNGTTATGGATCAGTATCAACAGTCCTGCCAGTAACGTTACTATATTATCAATGCTACTGATATATGATAGCTAACTTCACAATGTTGTGATGTGACGTTAGCTAACATTCTGTAGCTAACGCCGGTCACTCACCAAGATAGCTGCCCAGTTCTCCACTGGTTCTCCTCACACCACAGCTCAATTTCTCTCCGATGGCCGTTATTTCTTCTAATCCTTGGCTGCTCCTGGTCTCTTGGACGCCTAGCAGGCTCATAATTATAAGGTTGTGGTCCGTCATATGCATTCGAATATTCATGTTCAACTTCTTCTGTGTCTTCTGTGTCGAAACTAGCATTGGGATCCATGTTTATTAATACGTTACACCGGCTGCTCTCCCCCTTGTTTCCCCCATGTTACGTCACACGCGGGAGGTCACGTGCCGAGGCTTTTTTATGCGGAAGTGAACATTTCTTACAAAAACAACGCCAGATTTCACTGTAGTGTATATTTCTGTATATTTTTTTGAAAATCTAGTGTATTCATTATTTTCCTACACATTTATTCACAGGTGTCTTTAACCTGGAAGTTGCTCTTTAAGTTGGCATAATGTTGAAGTAGTGCAACCCTGCTGTACTCGGCTGTAGCTCGTTTTAACACAACGTTAGCATTTTGCTTCTGGCGATTAGATTTTTGATTAGAAAATTATAAAAGTATGGTAGACATGTGGATATTATACGGCTGAACAAAACATGCATTTATCAAACAGGTTTGTTTTCTACAGACCTTATTTCGAGCTATTTTCCCAAATCCTATGGAGAAATCCCATTGCTTTTTTGTCAAGGGAACCCATGCGCAGCTTACTTCCGGGTAAACACGTCATCCCTGCACCACTCTATTGCATATGTACCCAAATATGCCTCTGCTCCTTGATTAAATAAGTAACTTGATTAGTATTTACTTTTCTGAGATGCTTGTCTAATTGAAGGTAAGACAGCAGAAGCAGTACAGAAGTGTGAAGGGTCAAAACTACTCACTCTGCATCTGAAGTGGCTTCTTTCTGAAGTCTGGCTCTGCCTGTGGCTGACATGTTCAAATGTCCTCCTGGATCAAGAGAGGGAGACGGTTAAATTAAGAGGTGAGTGGGGAGAGGGGTGTGCTGACGAGTAACAGGGTGAATTGAGGAGATGTCATAGGATAAATGGAATATCAACGGTATATTTGGTGGAGAAAACTGAGACAGTACGGAGAGGGAGAGAGCAGAGAGGAGAAGTAAAGCAGTGATTTCAAAGCTCCAGTGTTCTTTTACCTTTAAGATAATCCACAAAGTACAGCGTCACCACTGCCATCAGTGAAACTGCAGGAAATAAGGGGGGAAATGTGGGAAGTCACTGACAATGTCACTCAAAAGTGTCTAAAAGGAGTCCACACACAAACAGAAAAGAACTGACCGCAGATGCAGACGCAGAAAAACACTTCTAAAAACAGGTATCCTCGGTTGTCTAGGATAGCTCCTGCTGCCATGGCAACGAGAGCCAGTCCCAGGTTCTGGATGGACTGCATGCTGAGGGACGAAGGCAGAAGATCAACATCAGTTTGAATTAAAATAACAACAATTATCAGTCATATTGGTTTGTTTCAACTGTGAAAATGTATGTGATTGGTCATAATATAGCCATTGCAGTTACATACAAGCCATAGGCTGTCCCCAGCTGATGCTCTGGTACCACAAAGGCCACCATGGGCCACAGTGCACAGGCCAGTAAGGAGTAGGAGAGACCCAGAAGGGACTGGGAAATAGAGGACACACAGCTGTGATTACTTTTAATAATACAGGGCTCTCCACAGAGAACCTGGGTATAATATACCGCCTAAAAGAGCTTGTATATTGTATAATAACATGGTATATGACAATATTCACTTTACAACCAGTTCTTGAAATATAGAAGTAGTGCAATAGAAATATCTGTTGATTCAGTTCTTAAGAAAATAGTGTTAAAATTAAATAAAAATACTATCTTATCTTAATTTATTTATACGTCAACTATTATTTTTACCACCTCAGGCTGCAAGTTCACCTCACCATTAAAAACACATAATTTTTCTCCACAAAGAAAAATCAATCAAGAGTTTGCAACTTTAAGTAGGAACACATGTCAACAACTTTAAGTTTAAGAACTTGTATCCACACCCACTGTGACTTACACCTCTTAATCTAACAGGCGCAGCAAATGTACGATTACCGACAGTGTCATTCCTTCATACAACTAACCCGACCACTCTTTCTTAATGTAAAAGATCCAATGTTGTTGGGGTACAGATAAAACATTTTTTCAAGGGGCCTTACCATGGCGATCCATGGGTTCCAGAAGGTAAAGGCCAGCATCATGTGAGCGGCGAGTGTGGCGATCACGGCAACCATTACCCAAATCACGTTCTTGCCTACCCTATCCACCATGAAGCCTAGAACTGGAGATGCAGGGGCTGAGATGATGTACACAATACTGGGAAAAATAGAGAAGGATATTCATTTGTTATGACTAGAACCAAGGCAAATCCAAGTTAGCCACAGAAATTTTAGTTCAGAAAATATGTGCTAAAGTCAGTATTTGTGTGTGTGGTGCCTTTTTTGTAATATGACATTTTTTAAGTATTCTTCATTCCCAGTTTCAGGGAGCTGAACATTCGTCAGATGGAAATGTAAATTGTCCAGCTGTCCGTTAGATCAAACAAAATACACGCCAGGAATTAAATGCAAAATAAAATCAGAATCAGCAGACTATAGTGGATTGTTTGAAAAGGGCTATTACACCTGATCCGAGTTACCTGTTGACGGCTCTGGCTTCAGCTGGTGAGAAGTTGAATTTTTCAATGAAGAACACCCTGTAAATAAAAAGACAAGATGTTGGGCTCACAGTACGGAGAGCTGCTCGACCTTTATATTGATGTGACGACAAAAGGAGGAGAAATGGAGTTTACTTTTGCAGCAGGTAGGTCTCCGTCTTCTATTCATTGTTTTCTGCTCCATTTGCATAACAAGTATTTGCTTTGTAAGCACAAACACTCGATAGAAAAACCATGTCAGTTGCTAAGTGATTTGAGAGTGCCTTTCAAAGAAGGACATGTAGATTGCAATATCCTCAATTTGTTTTTTTTCACCGCAAACCCATTTGTCAAACCTCTTTCCATTTCTGACTCCCGCTCCATCCATTTGTGGTTCGATGACAACACAGCATTGTGAGTTTGCAGTGTTGAAGCTGTGATCAGGCACTGTCCTGATTTCATAGGGTTTCTCCATTGAATTCATGCCATGCCACTTAAACACAGTAGGCCTACCATATTGAGGTGATTTACATTTGTATTTAACAAAGGACAAGGAATGTTAAAGATTTTTCTTCAAGCATTACATTAAAGAACTACTGCTCCATAATTTTAGCGTACAATGCCCACGTTTTCAGAGTTAGGAGTTATTATAGTATCTCTCAATTGTGTGTGTAAAAGAAACTGATGAAATACTCACTGTCCCAGTCCAATAAAGGGGAAAATGGCGACATAGTAGCAAACGCAAATGAGGAAGATGAGCCACAGGGTTAATGGGAAGTCCTTCACGTCAGTCAACTTGATCACTTCGCCTAATATGCAAGATTAACACACATGCAACAGTTGGAAAGGCTTGTCTGATAAAATATACAGTTAGTTCCAAGAGGAAAAATAACACACATTCATTGAACAGTTTTTACGAAGAAAGCCACATCACAGCAGAGAAAGTGCTGAAGCCAATGAACTTGGCCAGAACGTCAATTTTAAGTAGATAACAGCAAAAACAAAACACTATTTCGTTGTCAACACTGACTTTACTAGGAAATATTGACAGAGGAGGCCAAAGAGGAAAAACAAAAGATAAAAAAAACACAATCTTGGAATAGATTACCTGTTTTGCCTTGTTCCTTGTTGAGGATCTTCTCTGCTCTTTTGTCAAGGAATCCCAACACCAAGGCACAGGTGAGTGAAAACAGGCAGGTCACACCAGCTGAACATCGACAAATACAATTACAGACATGAGTTCATATGGAGGAGTGACAAGAGAAATTAAAGCAATGTAAGTTCATGTTTTATGTTGGCTATTAGATTATCAAGGAATTTAAGTTTTGGGGTTAGGCTGATTGATTCTTTTGTCCATGTGAATTAATCTCAAATTATCAGTGGCAGTGGAGACAGATTATAAAATGAAACACAACTGCAAGATGTGCAATAGTAAAAGCACTTTAAGTAATGATAAAAAGTGACACTTCTTCTAACTCATGTGACTCATCTGTAACAGCCAGCCAGCAGCACTTTTAGTTCTCGAAACCACTTCTCTCTGTCTCTGCTCTGTGTGTTATCTGAGATCATTAGTTACAGAGAGAGGATCTGGTATCTTTAGCAGAGACAGAGATAAAGCGCTCGTAACAGGACTCTTCATGTTTAACACCTGCCAATTTCAAGCCTTGATCTTGAATGAGAAATGTACGCCTGGAAAAATGTGGAAATTCATGATAGTTACCGATCATGAGTGAAACGCCTAGTGCGGTGTGTCCAGGAGCGCCAACGAGGGCGACGACTCTGCTGTACACCCAGCCCATGATGTTCATGTTTACTGTGCTGCCCTTAAGACGAGTAGAGAGGAACATGAATGGACTATAGACGTACATTTACTATCAAAAACATGGATTTCTATAAAGTGGGTTTAGTGACCTTGGCTACAGTCAAAACAAATATTTATATGTTATTTGAAAACAATTATCACGTTGTGTTCCCTTACCACGCGTGCCATGCTGAGCTGAAGGCCAAATACTAGATTCAGCTCCTTTCCTTTGAACCAGTTCACTGCATAGGTGTTCTGGGCCACAGCCAGGGACTCTCCTCCAATACTGCCCATAAAATAAAACAGAGAGGTGGAGCATGTAAGCCGAATGATAGTACATGACCAAGCTGATCCTAATATTTGTTTTCAGTGTTGAAGGGCTGTAATATCGTATATGTTGATATCTGGCTGCGGAAAAGTCGCCCTCATGCATAAGGATACAGAGAACTGGACACTGGTAGATAAAGATGTTGCAAAAATAATTTGCCCACCCAAATATAAAACGTCCAGCTTCCATGAGCCAGAAGCGATTCACCAAAGCTCCAGTAGCAAATATTACCTGCAAAGTTGAAAAGTTAAAAAACAACATAAGAAATCAATATCTGTTGATTCATATTTAGATATATCATTTTAAAAAACCACATCATTTTAGGAACATATATTCTGTATTTCATAGAATAACTATTACATTTAGATAGCAAAGTAAACTTACCTGTCCAACACAGACAAATAGGGAAAAGATGATGGTTCCCAGCCTGAAAAAAAGCAGAAAAAATAAATAATTTAAAAACAAAAAGGCTACGCAACTCTTTCACTTTCACTTTTGGTGACATACTGGACTTATAAATAGTACAATGATATAAGGTGTCAGTCTTTGTACCTGATGCCAAAAACCCTATCGAGCAGGAACCCCCCGAAGAAGCAGAGAACCACATTGGGCCAGGAGTACCAGGCATACAGCTGCATGAACTTTGCAGTGTTCAGATCCAGATCCTAGCACAGTCCGGAAAGTTAAATCAGATTATTGTCCTCATATCAACTGTTTTATTTAAACATTAAAGTCTAGGTGTAAATACAGGTGTGTGGACGAATAAAACAATCTAATGTCAGCATTCAGGAGTAGGATTAATGTTCATACATGTTCCATTAAGGGTATAACATGGTGTACAACTCTGAGGGTGAATTACCTGGATGACTTGAGTTTGAAGTGCAGCTGGGTTATCATAACAGAAGTAGCTTCCTGGAACGAATTAACTAAATTAACTTACTGTACACACAATGGCACCGCATTTAATGAACGTCACATGAGCAACAAAACAAAGCTTTATTTTTCCTGAATGTTGCTCATTATACTCAGTTACAAAGTAACAATTACGGGTGTTTAGGGAAGTGGGGCTTTTGAATGCTCACCAAATCCCAAGAAGCACATGAATACCAGGACCAACACTCGGTGCAGGAGGTGTCCGGGGTCGCAGATGGCCGACAGGGGTCTGCCCGGTCCCCCGGCCGCCTGTCTGCCCTCGGCCTCATCTCCCAGCAGGCTCTGCCGCTCCTCATAATCCGCCATGTTCGTTTGTTTGGGATTTGCTGAGGGAAAAGTTGACGGCAGCAAGGAGGATGTAAATCGATCACATGACCTGGCACGAATGTCACGTGGCATTAGCTTTGAAGCCGCTTGTAGCTTGTAGAGCTAACCACACGCGCGTGCCTGCCGAGAAGCACAAGCACCTCGCGGGAGCGCGCAGGGAGAGACTTGTTTGGATGTCAACACAAACTGTTTAAAGCGTCAGCAGCAGTGATGACCTTATGCGTACGGTTAGTATATGCCAATCACATAAAAGGGTTTAAATGCATTACTGTACACATAGGAATACGCAATAGGACTGTATCCACATAAATAACAGTTTAAAGATACATTGAGAAAGCATAAAATGCACATTATCTCCTAATTTTGAGAAAAGTGTTACATTAAAAGGCTAATAGTGTTAGTTTATTTGTTTTATGTTTAATCTTGAAACAAACTTTTTTTAACTATTCTTTTGAGACATAAAGAAACAGGACTTTATTAGAGGCAGACATCAAATTGTAGGCTAATGACCTTAGACTTACACTAACCTTTAGCCTATTTCACTACCATATTTTAAAGCTAGATGATGATTATGATGATTTTTAAGCATATAATGTTTCACCGAACACAGGAAGGGGCTTGGCTGTCTACAAATAAAGACGGCTAATTTTAATTCTCCCAAAATATATTGAGGCTGAACCTGAACTTTCAGCTTGGGGGCCCCCTAGTGGCCGCAGGGGCTCTTTGCATCTGCATAGTCCGCCTAGGAAGAAACGGCCCTGCTACCAACAACCAACAGACAAGTAGGTAGCCTTTCCCCTTCTTTGTTGCACTGTTTGGGCAATGCAGTTTTGAGGCTGTGTCTGGCAGTTTTTGGGAAATAATTTTGTCCTTAAGTGGCCAAAATGGATTATTGCACATTTGAAGGAAGAACTCAGAAAGGCTTATCTCTCTTCTTTGCCTTTACACATTTCAAAGTTAAGGTCACCTTTGTTTTTGCATGTTGTTGAGTTCTAGCTCTGTTTTAAAGTGGGGTTAAATTTACATTTGTGTACCCATTGGCCATCATCTTTTAAAAAGTACTTCTCTAATTTTTACTTTAGTGTTTGTTTTGGAACAGTGAGGTAAGCTTGTACATTTATTTCATTTTACTCAGTTGGAATTTGAACGATTGAACAATGTGTCAAAATTAATTTTTTGACCTAAATCCTAAATCTAAGCTTTGATACTGTAAGTTGAATATAAACCATTTATCATGGAATTCTTGACAAGAACCAGTTTATAAGCTTCTGATGATTGGCACCACTGACATGAAGACTTGGCAGCTGTTGCTCTGACAGCAAGCTGTTACACATTGTTGCATTAAGAAACTGCAAGCCCCCACAACGACATACCTCCATCTGGTTCTCTTCTGTCTCCAACGTGTGCCTCTGCTCCAGGCAACATTATCTGCAGGGTTTATTTAATTTCCATGAATTTCATTTAGAGATTCTCATAATTCACTACTGCAGGGTCATCTGTCAGAGGATTTCATCTGAGGGTGACAAAGTCTTTTTCCTGGCTGCAGTATACTGTAGCTCCTTCCGCTTTGTAGCTCATACATTTCCTGCCTAAATATCAGCTTCTGTCAAAACCGACAGACGGTGGGAATGGAGGAGGATCATATTTCATTAATACATTGATCAGACCCACATGCAGACACAATTGTAAATCAGGTGCAAGGTTTCATTAATCCTGCAGACCAGTCTGTGAATGTCCTGAAACCCATCTTTAGGGTGTTGCATTGCTAGAAAAAATCAATTTATTCCAGTTCTATTTACTCTTTGCTCCTCTTGCTCAGTGCAACATTAAATGGTACAGTGCCTGACTGCAGAGTTTTTACAGATTAATATCGGTTAGTAGTTTTGGTTGTGCACACTAATAAAAAGTGCCTCATATTTTGATCAGCACCCATGGGAAATAAAAAAGACAAGTAATCATAATTATCTCAGGGTAAGCTACCACAAATAAACCACATCTAAACAAAAATCAATAAGCATTCCTTTAATTGTTGATGTGATGGTAATTTATATACTAGCGTCAGAGTGTTGTAAACTATGAATATCTGTGTCAGCGCCCCTTGGGTAGAGGAACTAAGTTAGATGGTTTTATCATTTTATGTTATTTGCTGCCTTTGTTGCGCAGCCACCGTAGTTTGCTGTGTATGAAGTGATCACTTTCCTAGTCCTTTGTCCTAGATTGAATTAGAACTGTAAATTCACCAGGTTTTAAAAACCTAATCTTCAACCCCGTTAGTATAAACACCCCATGCAATTTTTCTTTAAACAAAAATATTAATTTTATTATGTTATTATTATTATTCATATTGCACAGAAGTTATAGCTGTAAGCAGTGTCTATTGCAGTCCTTATTTTGTTATCATTTGGTCACTGTTTACATTGTGTGTGTCATTGGAGAATATGTGCTGTCAAGATGATTAGCCTTTCGCCAAAATGTCAGAGAAGGGAAAGTGCAGTTTACATGAGATAAGGGTACAGAAGGAAGTAGAAAATTACAGTGAACACAATTAAGGAAATGTTTCGTATGACTTAGCAAACCGAGGAAGAAGTGCTCGGTTAGTACTGTATCAAAAATAGCCTTGTTGGTGGGAACATTTCACCCGTCAGACCTCGTTTACCCTTTCCTGTTACAAAGCATTGAATATTCAACAGATTGTGATCACCTTGCATTCATTTAAAAAATGTTTGACAACTGTTTTCATCAAGATAAAATGCTATTTACATGTTGAAAAGCAATTCACACAGTGATCTCATCATTATTAATTTCCCATTGTACATTGTCCAGCCTGTTACTGTGGGACCCCATTATATGACAGTCTGTTACTTGGGGCCATTTGTGACATCTCCATTTGAGTTGATGTTGCCGTTGGTGACTCCATGGCACCTTTGTTGAACGACCTACGGCAGAGTGCGGCTGTCAGTCTTCTCCGAAACACTTTACACAGGAATACATAGATAAGCGGGTCTAAACACACATTGGTGGCCGACAGCCACAGGGTTGTTTCCTTTGCAATGTAGAGAGCATTCTGTGCCTTGCAATGACTCGCCATGCTGCCCGTTTGGGTGAGAGTGTAGGGGACACGGGCAAAGTGAAAGGGGGCAAAGCAGATGAAGAAAACCCCCACCACCACATACACCTTTGCCTTGATTCTGCGACTGGCTGCTTGAGATCTGCACTTTGAGGCTTTGTATGACTCATAAACCTTCTTGCTGATGAACGTGTAGCAAACCACCATCAATGCCAGCGTGCCCCAAAAAACCACCTGGAAGCAAACATAGACAAAACATTAAGCGCCGCAAAAGTACTTCTCACAGCTTTTCTCACGACTAATTTTGATGAGCTGTATATCAAAGGTCCGTTGAAATATCAGCATACCAATTATGTAGTAAATGTGCACTAAATTAAAATGTTATTATATAACAGCTGATTTGTTAAAGTTATAGTTCGACATTTGTGAAAAAAGGCTTATTTGCAACATTGGTGGAAGTTAGATGAGAAAAAAATGTATATCATGTCAGTGCTGCAAATTATGAAGCTGCTTCTAGCTTAAACCACACAGGGGTCTGCAACCTTTTTGATCAAAAGAGCAATTTTGCCCCCTTTACCACATTTTTTTTTGTCTGGAGAAAATACACAGGCCTACTAATACATCAACACAGCACTTGGGGAGTCCTCTGCACATTTGAAGAAAATGAATATAATTAAAATGGGCCCACTTTGAAATAAATAAAACACCCTAAAAAGAGTTAACTGATTGAATTATGGCCGAAGATTGTCAGCTGTCTTCCTCTTCCGTGTTTTTCCTCCAATACGTAAAGGCTGCAGCACCTTGGACAACTTCTCTCAATATATCAAATATAGGCCTCCCGGTAAACCAGCATCGTTTGCTGTGAAAGCATATAACTCTAATCACCAGAATGAAACCCTCTGTGTCCCTCCGATACTTTTATTTTCTTTGATTTATCAATAGTTCGCTCATCGAGCCAGGGGTCAGGTTATTGGTATGCAAGAAAAGGCGCTGGTGCGGGACCGTACAGGATGTGACGCATATTTTAGTTGACCTAATTAAAACCGTTTTTAAAAAAATGGTATGTGTCACAGTCTATGGTCACAGTATCACCTCAAAATACAAGATACGAAACATTTTCAACCGTGCTACAAAATATAAATAGTCCTACAAATATTTTTATTTTATTTCCTTCTTATTTGTGTGTCTAAAGCTCAAGGTGGCTCGAGAGCCGCGGGTTGCCGACCCCTGGGTTAGCACAACGGTTAAAAACAGCTAGCTTGACTCTGTCCAATAAGAACATCTAGATACCTATTCCTCTAAATCGCAATTAACATCTTGACATCTATACAAAAATCATACTTTAATTTTTTTTAGTAGTATTCCTCTACTTTATAGCTACCTGACAGAAGTAGTTGAATCCTGCATGCCAGAGCATACCAGCGTTGTTCTTCATAGAGGTGCACTTCAGTCTGCCTCCAGGGTCGCGTGGAAGCTTGTCACTTAGAATAACGTTGGGTAATGCTAACGCTAGCATGACCACCCACACAGCTGCACTCAGCAGCTGACCAACACGAACCCGCTGCAGGACACACTTCCCAAATGGCCTGACTATCTTCAGGTAGCGGTCCAGGCTGATGAGGCCTAGCAAGAGGATGCTGATGTACATGGTGATGTAGAAGAGAACTGCAGAGTATCGGCAGTGGAATGCGCGTAGATATAAGGAACCCACACCAGCATCACTTAAGACTCTCAGAGGGATGGTCAGGGTCATCAGCAAGTCAGCCACGACCTGGTAATGAAGGAGGTTTATGTTTTTTTTTTTTTTTTTGAACGGCGTAGACAAACTACATTAAGCAAAAGCCTTTTGAGTCTTACCACATTTTTTAGAAAGACCACAAATGTTGAGGAGCTGGGGATGCTGAAGAAGATCCATGCAGCCAGGGAATTCAGTATCAGGGCAACTATAAATAAGATGCTGTAGAGACAGGGGAACACCACAGCTGTCACACTGGTATCCCGATCACACTTCATAGAAGTGTTTGACAGGGTGTT